AAACCAATGATTGGAAACATGAATGTAGACATTACAAGGGCAATACACATAAAAAGCATAATGTCCATATTATTGACTTCTTTGAGGCAGACCTTTTATATATTTCTGTCTCCTCAACACCAAGCAAATTACCAAGAAAGGCACCTAATACACACTCAAAAAGATTTGGCAAATTGAAAACTAGGCAATGCTATATGCTTTAAAAACATCGAGTCTGGGTTTTCCACTGAATTTCAGTGAAGTAAAGTATAATTGATATCATTACTTAAATAGAGGCTAAGCATCTTCTAGAGCTGTGGCATTAGAGATTCATGTAAGGTCAGGGGTGTAGTAGCTGGTCTCTTAGGCCTCAATCATTTCTCAGATGCTGTTTTCCTATAAATCTCACATTAGAGAAGTACAAGCACATTGCCAGACGAACAAGCACATCAGCGCTGATAGTCAATCTCACTAGTCTCAATTCCCTGGTTCATTTTCTATGTCAAAAAAACCTATTAGAAGTTTTAGAAGAAACACAATTTTTTTTGATGCAAACAAAAATAGCTTTATCTGTCCTTTACCATAAGTCTAGCATTTTATCCAACCATTGAATTTAATTGATAATTCAACTGCATCTTTTTTTCTAAACAGAGATGCAAGGTAAAACTGTATTAAATGCATATACTTTCAAGTGTATGTATTTATATACAGTGAAGACGTAGGTACATAAACTCAACAGTCACAAAAGATTTAGCACACCAGGGAGAAAATCATTGCAGCAAATGCTTATTGAGCACCTTCCACATGTTGTATATAGGTAGGGTGAGGGCACAGGATACAATTTAAAGAAATATATTACAATCTTCCCTCTTGTAAAGTTCAGAATAAAATAAACAGGCAAATTCAATATAGAGTGATCAGAGCTTCTATAGGGGCAAACAAGCTGCAGGGAGGGGCTTCCAGTCAGTGACTTTACCTTTCCAGAGCAAGTGTCTTTGTTGGAAACTGGAGCATCAGTTTGAATCAGATGTAGACAAGAATAGGGGGGAACAATTCAGGGACAGGGACAGCATCTTCAAATGCCCAGATGCTAGAAAGAGCGTGGTGAGTTTAGGGCACTGCAAGTAGTTCAGTACAGCTGGAAAATAGTGTGCAGGGTGACTTGTGAGAGCTTAGGGCTAATATGCCCATGATTTGGAAGGAAAAGAAGGTAAAGGCTGCTTGGTAGACAGTATTAATAGGTCAGTGAGTAGCAACATGAAAATAAGAGGGACTGTGATACAACGATGTTTGTGATTTCATTGTGATCCTTGTTATTAGTTGTTACGCAGAGGGTTTTAGATTTAAAAATACAATTACTCTTTGAGAAACAGAGAATGAATTATTAAGAATTTGCACATTTAATCTATTTTATTAGTTAAAATTGTAGCTGTGTATTAAATGCTTGGAATATAAATATATCAACTATTAATTTTTAAAAATACTGCACTTATATGAAAGTGAATCTTCTGGGCTTTGTTATACATGCTCCACACATGAACTAATTCACTATCATCTAGCATCTCAAATGTTCTTTCACCTTTCTACCACATAGGTGTTTTATGCTTTATGTGTGTCATGATCACATAACTTATCATCCAAACTTGGATATTTTTGAAAGTGAAAGCAGTTTTATGAATAATTATACAAGGACGACAGGCATAAACTTAAGCTGTCCTGGACAAACCAAATGTGTCATTCTTGTTCACAATGTGTATCACATTTTAAAGTATGCTTAAATGATTACAATTATTTGAAATTTAGAATAATGTTTTGAAATGAAACATTCTTTTTCAGCTGGACATTTTTTAATTCTTTAATATCCTAAAGTTTGTGACCTACTTTATTTGGGGTTCCTACCTTCACCTTTACATTTTAACTTGTCAGCATGCTGAATAATCACTGGCAGAAATAGAAAAATGTGGAGATGATAAACCTCTAATTCATGGCACTTGCCAACTATTAAATTGACATATACATTTTGAAGATTTCTTCTTCAATGTCTAAAAAAAGATACTTCACTTTATTTTATTTTTTCTCAGCTTCTAAAACAGAAATTGGGATCAAGTCCAAAAAAAAAAAAAAAAAAAAACTTTTATGGCCAGGGAAAAAAAAAAAATTTTTAGGCCAGGGAAAAAAAAAAAATTTTTAGGCCAGGGAAAAAAAAAAAATTTTTAGGCCAGGGAAAAAAAAAAAATTTTTAGGCCAGGGAAAAAAAAAAAATTTTTAGGCCAGGGAAAAAAAAAGCATTTTTAAAAAAAAAAAAAAAAAAAAACTTTTATGGCCAGTGAAAAATAAAGCATTATTAAAACAAAAAAAAAAAAAGGAAGAATTTGAAGACTTACTACAGAGGGAAACTGCCAGATTGTAGCATTTCAATGAATCCCTGAGCAATGCCACAATACCCAGCTATTATTCAAGCAGGTGGCACACTATTATTCTTACAGAGTGATACCTTTGCTTATTATTCTTTTAACTACAAAGAAAACACAATAATTTGAATCTAATATTGTCTGTAAAAACTTCCATTAATAAATAAAATAAAGTGTTACTAGAATATAAAAAAAAAAAATCTGTGGCCTGTCCTAATTGATTATTTTTTTCTATAATTGATGGACTGAGTTACACCGTACCCAGGTACACCAAGACAGATAATGTTGATAATAAAGGAAAATGATTGATTTCTGGTTTCAACTGTGGCCATTTGGAAACAGTGCTCTGTCAAGTTTCTTAACTCCCACAGAGAGCAGCACCACAGGACTCCAGTTAGAGCCACAGTAGACGATGGATATACATTTCTGAATTTTATGTAGTCCCCTGATAATTGAAGTAAAATAGTCAATGCAAGAAAATGAATCTCATGCATGGCCATTTCATGCAAATGGTAAAAGGAGTGTTTCTTCACTGAATGACTCCCAAATATGCACTGAAACTGCGGTCATCCCTAATGCTCTCTCTGTGGTCTTACTCTCTACTTCATTTCCTCGTTAACTGCTTGCAGCCTGCTACATTATGCCTCCAAGCTTTTGCTTCTGCTCTCCCTTATGTTCCAACATATTTCCCACTTTTATTTATTGGCCAAACCTTTTCAATCCAAAAACACTTAGCTTGGGGTAATCTCCAAAAAATCTTCCCTGAGTCTTGAGATTAATTTAATGTCTTGAGTCTGTGCTTTGTTAGCACTTTTTAAGTGTTTTCTTGTTAGCACTCAGTGTGTTATATCTGATTATCTGCATGTATGACTCTTTCCCCTTCCAGACTACAAGTTTCTTTAAGAACAAGGCACCACTAAATAAACACAAGTTGTGGCATGTAGATTATAATTGGTGCTAAGAATATATCCTAATTTGAGCTAAAATTAAATGTATCTGTACATATTTGTTTGCAGTAGAACTTAACAGATAGTTAAACCAGACAGCCATTTCTAAACAACTCATATTCATGAAATGAAAACAGCATGATAGATAAAACTACATTCAAATCTCAGTTCCAACCTGTATTTGTATGGAACTCTGAGCTAATCACTCACCCTATCTGAGTTTTAGTTTCCACATTTTGTACAAATGAGTATATTACTAAGGCTTTGGCAACAATTCAGCAAAAAAGGTACATAGAGCAGCTTGTATAATATACATACTCAAGAAGCTTCCTTCACTTCCTTTTCCTCAAATGCTTTTAAATTTTTTAAAAAATTAAGAAAAAAAATATATACGGTCGAATTTCTAGAGCTATTTTTGTTTTATATGGATAGATGTGAAAAAGTTATTCAACATATATAGACTTACTCTGTGTCTTTGCTGTTGTCTTTATTTATAATGTCCTCCTTCCCCCAGTCCCCATCTCTGCTTGTCAAATTTCTTCACTGCACAACTTAAATCACTGATAGAGTTTGGATGTGTTGTCCCCACAAAACTCATGTGGAAATCTGGTCCCCAATGTGGTAGTATTGGGAGCTATTTGAGTCATGGGCTCGGATCCCTCATGAATGGATTAATGCTCGCCCTGGTTGGAGGGAAGGGAGGGGGGTCATGAGTGAGTTCTTGCTTTATTGGCTGCTGGAACAGCTGATTGTTTAAAAGGAGCCTGGCACCACCCCTCTCTTGCTCTTGCTTCCTCTCACCATGTGATCTGCTTGTACCTGTGGGCTAGCCTGCTGTTTTTCACCATGAGTAGAAGCAACCCAAGGCCTGTGCCAGATGCAGCGATCCAAGAATAGTAAGTCAAATGAACCTCTGGTATTTATACATTACCCAGGCTCAGGTATTCTATTATAGCCACACAAAAAATGACTAATACAATTATCTTCTCAATGAAGTTCATCAGAATTAATTTCAAGATCATTTGGGTTTCCAACGTTTCTCTTACATGATTTCATTACAATATATTAAACCAAAATTGTCAAACCAATTGTCGAATATTGTCAAATTGTCAAATATTATGAAACCAAAATTATTAAACCAAAATTACGCTAGCTTTGAGAATTTTTCAGGTCTAGGATAATTTTTCAACATAAAGAAAATAGTGAGACATATATTGAAAGAATCTGAGGACAAGCAAGACTTTTCATTTGTACATTAGAAAGAGCAGCAGCATTTTAAAAAATAACACATTGTTAAAATAAAAAGTATAAATCATGTACATTTTAGATATATTCATTGCTTATGCTTTTGTGGTCAAAACCAAATTCCTTTTGGTAAAATATTAAATGTTAGAAGATATAATAAATTACATAGTATTATATACACTTGACATTTGTTATATATAAAAATATTTAGTATTTTATTGCATAGTACTATAAAAAGTTATTTAGAGAAAAGTAATAAAAAGAACTTCATTTGTTCTTTTTTAACAAAAAAAATTGGTTGATTATTGTCCATATTAATTTCAATTTTTATGACATAAAAGTGCCTACAGTAACCTCCACAGATTTTTTTGATTAGTAGTTCATAAATACAAGGAAATAAGACATTAGTTTAATTTACCTTAATAACCAAATCAAATTTCTGGTGAAAGTCTCTGTTTACTGGCTCCAGGAGATTAAGTTCTGCAGTCCTAGGATGCATATGGAAAAATCGTGGGTAATCCTCAGGAGTCCCTGAAAGACATTGAGATTTCAGCACATAATTGAGAACAAGAAGAAATATGTGTATGTACTTTATCTGTTTCTTTCATTAACTGAGGAACAAAATTATAATTTCATTAGTAAATTAAGTTTCAGAATTATGCAGTCTAGAGAAAACAGACACAAATGTGGTCTATAACTAAATAGCTTATGAGTAAGAGAATGAAAAATATTTGTTCGGATGATTTTCCAAATATTTTTTATTATAAAGCTCTTTAATTAATTTGAAACTTCATCACATGAAAAGGGATATTCAGTGGAGAGACAGCAAATTTGGGGTTATAAAATTGTATTTTAATGGTGCATAAATCTTAATTATAGCCTACATGGTCTTTCAACATATCTTGTAATAAATAACAAGTAATAATTTGTACCAAATATCAAGATACTTGGAAATTAATATGAATTTATTCTGTTCCATCTGGGCAAATATTTTTCTTAAGATAAGTACTGAGCTAATGATGCCAACCACAGAAGATTAAAATGCAAGTTTTGATGATACTCTTAATGTCTAGGGAGGGTACTTAAATTCAGGCATTTTAGTAAGTTGAAATACAGTGCTTCTTGCAGAAATTCACTTTAATTGTATCATCTTTCCTTGTGTACTGCAACATTACTTTTCCCAGAGTGAAGAAAAAGTAGAAGTCAAATCATAGAACTGTATAGTATATGCATTTGGCAAAACATTGACCATACAGTAAAATAATATGGCTTCCAATTTATTGAAGTCTACTCTGTGCTAAGCGCTTTATATAATCATCAATAACCCTGTAAAATATTTTCATTTTTACAGATGAGGACTTAAAATATTTCAAGGATTTATCCAAGTCAAAGAGACAATCTGAGACAGAGCCTGAATTCAAATTCAGGCTGCCCTAAATAAAACATATCCAAAAATGGGCTTATTGCTACTACTCCCTTGCATCAATCTGAGACAGGAAGCAAATTTCTCTTGGACATTATATGAGGGGGAAAAAATTACATCATTAAAGCATACTTGAAAATCCAGAAATAGTAAATATTATAGATGAATTTAGTACAAAATAAAGGCATTATCTCTCCTAACAGAAGTCATAAAATGATAGAATTGTATTCATTCTTTATACACTATACTAGAGTAACCCCCAAATGAAGAAGATATTTGTGTGTAATAAATAATAAAACAATGCAAACACTAGTTATAAATGAAAACATGGATACATTTTACTCTAATGTGAGAATGTTAAATCTTCCCTAACTATGGCTCAAAGTCAAGAAGGAATAAGGAAAAAAAAAAGAGAGATAAATTTGATTACATTACAAAATTGCATGGTAAGACACAATAGAGTAAAACCACAAGAGACAAATTGGGAAAATAGTTGCAATTTACAGCAGAGACAAACAGTTCTTATCTCTATTATATGCAGATTTATAAATTAGATAAGAAAAAACCATCGATGCATTAAAAAAGTTTGAGGTTAGAGTATGAACAAGCAGTTCTCAGAAAGAGAAAGGCAAATGACTCGATCATATCCAAAGATGCTCACCAATATATATAAGGAGAAAACTACAAATTGAAACTAGGCTAAGATTCCATTTCTCATTTGTTAGATTAGCAATAGTCCCGGTTGGACCCCATACTCTAGTGGTGAGCCTGAAAGAAAGGCACTTTTGGATATGTGTGGTATTAATAAAAGAGTGCTACAAAACCTATGAAGAAATTTCAGCAAGATCTATAAAAATCCCATCAGTGTTTACTTTATTACCCAGAAATCCCACTTCTAGGACATTTTTGCATAATAATAATGAAAGATAAATAACCACTTAAATATACATCAGCTGTTGCCTGGAAGAATAAATGGTGATACATCCTCAAGTGGATGATAATTCAAATGTAAATAGGAATGATAAATATCTTTACCTATTACTATAGAGTTGTCTTCAAATATGTTAAGTGTAAGATGTAATTTGGAAAAAGGGTCTATAGTAAGCTAACTTTTAAGAAAAAAGAATACACACACATATTTAAAAAGGAATAATATGCATTTTTAAAACATCAAAGATAAAACATAATATTTAAAAAATGATTCCATATGAGAGAAAGAGAGGATAAGCATTAAAGCCAAATTTCATTATCCACATCACTCTTTATTTTGGAGCCATATGAATGTTATCTATTATTATAAAACAAATTAAAATTTAAAGACATACCAAAAAATAAAAAGTAAAATCATTCTAAATGTGTATTCTATTGGTGGTATAAGCAGAAGCAGAAAAAAATGATTCCAGATAACTCTAAAAGATAATGACTTGACATCACATCCTTCAAATAATACAGTCTGAGAACAATAGAAATTATACGCAAAATAATTAAATTGTTTATGGTAATCATATTACTGGTGGTAGTGTTGGTGGTGTTATTCTAGGATGATGTCGGAGTATTTAACAATAACTTAAATGAGTAATTATGTGGTATTCTAATCCCATCATTCTCAGTATTGAAATCTAGATTCTTGGCTGGGGACAATAAGGGGATACAAATATAAGATAAAAGAAGTTAAATAAAAACACCTATAGTGTGGATCTTGAATTGGCAGTGTAAGTTTAAACTCAAGTTATAGCTTATCTTAAGGATCACAATACATACTCCAAAGCTCTGACCTTTGAAACAAGAACTAAAATTATTGGCCAACTTAGAAGCAATGAACATCTCTAGTGCTCAGATTGTAGTTTTGAAATACTATTACCACTAAAAGTAATTAATAGTTCTGAAAGAGATAGATGATTCCAGGTCTGGAGGAAAAAAATCAACAAGATAACAGTGAAACACATCGTCACACCAGATAGCAAGACAGATATCCAAGACTACTGAGCTTGTGTCAAAGTTTTCAAGAGCGAACATGGGAAGGTTTTCTCCAGCTGACGATGGGACACTTTGAGCATCAATAAGAATAATAGCTGTAATGATTTGAAACAGATTGATATGTTGACATTTATAAATTTATAATAATGTTGAAAAAAGAACATCTTATTGGTCATCTTTGGAGAATGTTCAGAAAACACTTCAAAATAAAAAAAAAACAATAAACAGTTTGCAATTTGGGGCAGTATATGCTTTTTGTATATTTAATATATAATTGGTATACAGTAAAGCAAACATATTTAAAATGTGTAATTTGGTGTTGATCAAGATACTACAACCATGTTAAGATAATGAACCAATCCATCATTACCAATAGATTTCTCATGACTCTATAATCTCTCCTCTCCACATCCATACTTCCCACCTGCATGTAACCACCAATCACTTTCTGTGAGTATGGAAAAATTTGTATTTTCCAGAAAATTATATTAATAGAATCATTTACACAGGATGTACTCTTTTGCAGAGGGGTGGAGAGTGGAATCTGGATTTTTTTCATTTAGCATAATAATTTTCAATTTCATGTTGTTTTCTGTATCAGTAGTTCCTTTATTTATTTATTTATTTTTTGCCTGAGTACTATTCCACTGTTTGAATATACCAAAATTTGTTTATATGTTCACATGTTGATGGGCATTTGAGTAGTGTCAAGTTACAAATAAAGCTACTAAGAACATTCTAGTACACATCTCTAAATTGGCTTATGCTTTCATTTCTCTTGGTAAATACCTAAGAGTGAAATAACCAGGTCATGCGATTGGTGTATGTCTTATTTTATTGACTTTTTTGTTTGGGTGGGGGATACAGTTTCATGAATTTTTGGATATGTGTAGGTTTGTGCAACCACCACCACAATCAGGATACGGAATGGTTTTATAATCAAAGAACTCCTTTGTATTTTCCTCCCTAATTTCTAATCCCTAGAAACCACTGACTTGCTTACCATCAATATTTTCCTCTTTTTGAGAATGTCATTTAAGTGGTATTACCCCTCATATAGACTTGGGGACTGGCTTCTTTCAACTCAGTATAAAGTATTAGAGATTGACCCGAGTGGTTGTCTATCAATAATATTTTCTTGTTATTGTTGACTAAAGTTCAACTTTTGCCCATTTTAAGAAAATTTTTATATTCTTATTTGCAGTTTTTATATCTTCTATGATAAGTAATTCGTTAAAATTTTGCCCACTTTGTAATTGAGTTGTTAGCCTCATTCTTATCAAATTGTGTTTTCATATATTCCCAGTGCTAGTCCTTTGTTGGATATATGTTTTACAAATTATTCTCCTTTATGTTTTGTCTTTTCAATCTATTATCAGTGCCTTTTGGTCTTTTGAAGAGTAAATAAATTTGCATTTTGATGATGTCAAATTTTTAGTTTTTTTCTTTTATAAGTTTGCATTTTTCTCTATTTAAGAAATTGTTACCAATTCTGAGGTCACTCAAATTTTCACTGATGTTCTCTTTTAGATGCATTATAGTTTTAGCTCCTACATTTAGATATAAGAAGTCTTTCAAGCTAATTTTTGCAGATGGTGTGAGATATGGATTGAGGTTTATTTGTTTGCCTATGGTTATCCAATGGATCCAGCATCTGTGGTTACAAGGATTAACTATTTTTCCATGAATTGCCTTTGTGCTCCGTATTAGTTCTTCAAGTAATTATAACAACAAAATTTTATTAGGAGCCATATTTACCCATAATTTATGAGCATAGTACTTCTGACCTTCTATCAATAGCTGATTAGATAAGTGTGGACTTCTGACCTAAAGTGTATAATTATCAGTTCTTCTTTCAATAATTTTCATTTAGAACAAAAGATCTGAAAATAAATGTGAGTGCTGAACCAGCACAATAGCAGGTCTTTAGAGGAAAAGATCCTTTAATACCACCTGTTGAAATTCCTGCTCCTGCTTTTTAAAATGCTATATTTTTCAACATCTCCTTGAATTCTGGAAGAAACTAAAGTCCTTTCAATACATTTCCTTTACTGCCGAGGTGAACTCAAGTTCACTTGGCTATTTTTAACCAACAGAGTTCCATCCAAGAGGGCATTTGTTTTTAGTGCTT